TCAGATGAATAGGACTTTACTACACAATAGGCCTTTGGAGATTACTTGTTTTAGGAAGGGAATTCTCAATATGTGTTTCAGAATTAGACCCTGAATTTATGTAAGTTTTTCTTAGCTTTGCTTTTCATACAATGCGTACATTTTTGTAGAGCTGCATGATCTGATTTTCCACTCTGCTAGTTTTATGTCACCATAAATCTATTTAATCATGTTGATTTAACTGAAATAAAATCAGTAAAGTTACAACAGTGAGAAAGTTATGTAACAGAGCAGAAATTCAGGCCCTACTTTTGTAATTAAATTATAAATGTGGCACAGTATCAGTGGCTATGGCTAAGTGCATGTGTTCAGCGCCTCTGGTTTTCAAGAAACAAAAAGGTGACTAATAAGTTCTAGTATCTATTCAACATGCAGGTGATTTCAGCAAGTAACTCTTCTACATGCTAATGGACATTATCCATTGTAAACCTGTGCACACGGATGAGAAAATAAATACTCTGTTCCATGGATGCCAGATTATGAAATCATCTGAAATTTCTGGCTGCACTGAGGACTACAAAAGTTTCAATAATTTAATCACTTCAACTAATTGTTCTAATTGGATAACCATTTATTTCATATATACACTGAAAATGTAACGTTATTATTTTTTAATGATTATAGCAGACTAGAGCCAGAGAGATGTACACTAATTTAACCCTTACAGCTTAGTCAGTTTTTGTGCTGACAGCCAAATTGATACTTAAGAGGAGGTATTATAGTGATATTTTTATATGTGCAGAGTCATCCAACTGATAATCTCAACCTAAATGAATTGTGTGCTAGGTAAGTCTAAGTATGCCTGCTTTTTAGGGGGTAAGTTTAGACACACAGAGATTCAGGATGTTATATTTAAATGTTAGCATCTAAAGTTAACACCTAACTCCATATTTAGGCACCTATGAATGGCTTAATTGTCAAGGGAGTTGAGAACCCACAGTTCCCACTGATCACAATTCTAGACCAGGGGCTGAGGTGGTGTGGGTGCTAAGGTGCACGTTTGACAGCCCAGAGGTTGCAAGCTTGAGGCCATAGCAGAAGCATTCATAGCAGGGCCCGTCAGATTCCAACAAAACTCTGAATTCTGTTAAATATCTTGTCACAAAAACACAACAAGGAAAGGATGACTGTCTGAGTAGACCTGAGAAAATTTTCTATGTCTGATGTCTATAGTTCTGAATTTTCAAAGATGTTATATTCTGATTTTCGGAGGGGACTATATGATGGGAGCTGTGTGCTTTGCGTGTACAGCCTTTCTGAATCTAGGCTGTGAGTAGAATCCAGGAGTCCAGACTCTCCTGTGTGTGTACTTAATACTACAGAACGTACCCAGTCAACAAAAGGGATAGTTGGTCTCTTTCAACACTGATAACAGCAGGATAAACTCAGTACGGGCATTATTAGTATACTGTATTGGGAGATTAAAAAATCAGTGAATCTGAGCTGGAATGTAGTTTTATTAATGTGTGAATGAAAAGAAAGGGTTTCTTAATTAGATGTTAGCCATCTCATTATGGAGAGGGGAAATTAAAGAGCTATATGAACTACAATTACAATGTCACTGAATATATTGTTAGTTTATGTTAGTTTGAAGTCAGGCAGAAGGCAGGGTAGATTTGCCCTTTAATAGACTAAATCAGAAATATATCGCATAAGCTTTCGTAAGCAGTGGGTTTACTTCATCAGATGCTGTGAAGGCACTGCAGGAAACAGAGCTGCTAAATATCAAATATAAAATAGCTGCACTTCAAAATGGTGGTGGGGGTGCTTTAACTAAAGCTCCCCTGCTGCCATTTTGAAGCGTGGAATGCAAATACATATGATGCTGAAGGCACTTTAATTAGAGTGTCTCTCAAAGCCACTGTAATTAAGCTGACCCCCCACCTTCCACCCCAGAAGCTAATCCAGGTAATGGGATAAGAATCTATAGTCTCAAGTTTCGACCGTATTTAACACTGTCCAGTCTTGTGGATGATTTCTTGTTCTATAATTTCAAGTTAGTTTTTAGTTTTCTTGTCTAAGCACATCCACTCTGAGGTCAGCAAAGAATGTACAGAGAAGTTAAAGTGCCACAGGCTTGTCTGTTTTTCTGGTACTGATGTCAAATCAGTGTCCATTCTTTCTTACATGTAGGGATTGTCTCATTTGTCCAATGTAGACAGCACAGGGGCACTGTAAGCAGGCAATAGCATATATGATAATAGTAAAGGTGCAGGGAAATGAACCTCAGGTGTTATAACCTGTATTACATGGGCCATTGATGATATGGTTTGTGTTGATGAGGGGATATAGGTGGTATGTGGGTCCAGAGCAAGGTCTGATGCTTTAGGGAGAACAGGCATTGCTGGAGAGACGCTGTTTGAGGTTGGGGAGCTTCCTTCAAGCCAGGATAGATTTGTTTGGGTCAGTGAGATTAGAGCAGATACAACTGTAATGTAGAGGTTGGATGTAGATGATAGATCTAGTGGTGTGGTTAGGATGAGAGCTACTGGCATGAAGGTAGCCGTAGTGGTTGGTTGGTTTCCAATATAACGTGGAAACTTGCCACTGCAAATGTTTACACTGGTGTCCAAGAAATGAATTTGCTGGGAGGAGTATTTCAGGGTAAGTTTGATGGAGGGGTGGAAGTTGTTGAAGTCCTGGTGGAATTTCTCCAGAGATTCCTTCCTGTGAGGTTTGAATGTTGAAGATGTCATCAATGAATATCTTGCAATATACTGAAATTGAAGGTTGTGAATGCTACACTGTAGAAAACATTCCCAGTAAGCAGGCTATTTGTTTTCATCATAAAAGGAACAGTTGAAAGACATTACTGCTATTTAAGAGTGATGTTTATGAAAAGAGAGACCTTGAAATTCTAGTGTTTTTTTTATTAGAAATAATCATTTTAATGTGCATTGTAAGATACTAGAATACTTTGATTCTTTCATATACTGGATAACTCAGAAAGCAGAAACAGACTTCAAGATATCTAATTTTTTTTCCTGGAGACTTTTTGTTCTCTGCTTTATGAATGCATTTGTTAAACTTATCTTATAAGTATCTCAGAAGTCATAGATAGAAGCAATGCAGTTTTCATAAATCTATTAAAATTATTTGTTGTCATTAAATGTTTTGTGGTACGTTAGAAGCCCAATAAGATTTCTGTTATTTTACTGGAAATATCATTCAAGCTCTTGGTTCTACTGTGGCTCTTCTCACTTTTGTCTCCTACCTATAAGATCCCCTTTCATCAGCTTTTTCACAGCCAAACATGCAGGTACTCATGGCAAAAGTCATAACACAAGTGAGGGAGTATACAAAATAGCCCCAGATAGGTTAGGTCCATTCAGATAATCCCCTTATGACCTGTCTCTGCAGCCCGACAGTTTAACTTTTGCAGGACTGGCAGGGTGGGAAGTCCATGGACTTTATGATGGCAGTTGTAGTAGGGTGCATGTCTCAAGGGCTACAACCCAGCTGAAGGCAGTAAGAAGGTGATTGCAGGCCTGCCAAGGAAGATTGGGCCAGCTGATGAGAGTACTTGGCTAGCCGAGGGGAAGTTAAAAGCTTTCAGGGAAGAAAGCTTGGGGAGAAAGAGGGAAGGTTGTGTGGCTAGGGGCTGCGGCATTGACCTAGGCTGCTCTCTCAGGGTCTGGGAAAGATTGCAGGGTGTGAGTTAATGCTTTACTATTTGTGTATTTGTTTGGTGGCTTATTGATAGTTTACACTGTGTCCTGTGGACCATATTTGTCCCAGGAAATAAAGATTGTGTTTATATGAACCTGTAACCTGCCACAGCAGTGTTCAGAGCACAGGGGCAGCACACAACAATTCTCCCCTCAGGCATTTTTATTCTTGTATCTGCAGAAACACTATCCAGAATTCACCCATATTCACTAATGATTAACACTAAGGAAGTCAGTGAATGGCCATTGTGTACTTTAAATACTGTTAATTCAAAATTGGAACTTTATTTTTAATTATAGAATGAAATTATAAAATACCAGCCAGGTCAATGATGTATTCCAGGGGCAACATAAGTTGTAGTTTAATGATGATAAAATGTTGATTTATATGGTACATGGGTTCATTGAATAAACTTTCTCTGATTTGTCTAATAGAAAGCTGTTAAGTCAAGGTCCAAGTCTCACAGCACATCTGATGATGAAGAGAGCCAGCAAAGCTCTACTGGAAAGGAAGCTGGGCAGCTCCACAGGTCAGAAAGTATCATAATTTAATTTCAGTGGAAACTAGAGACATTTGACTGCTAAATGGACATGGTGTGCTTTGTCACTTAAGTTATTGGAGCTTGTTCTCAAGAGCAAGTCACTGTTGAAATATTTTTGTGGTAACTACAAAACCCCAATACTCAATTACAGTGAAATGTAAATAGCAATTATTCATAAACTAAATATGAAAAGCTATAGCAATACATGCCTAGTAGAAAAAAGGCAGGCTCAATTTTACATTAAATGATACTCAGAACATTGTTTAGTTTGAATAATAGCACATCACACCCTGTCTAACATTATTACAGCTGACAATGTAACAAGCATTTATTGCAGCTAAAGTCTCTTTTGCCTGCATCTTTTTGAAGCTGCTTTTGCACTTTACTGTTATTTGATATAATGGCTAGAACCGTACTATAAACCATGCCCATTATGTCTAGAAGGGTGGAATGTTTGTGGGGAGATGTAACGTATGAATGAGAGAGAGAGAAACGTGGTTTCAGAGTGACCTAAAATCTTTTAGAGGTTCCTGGAAATTCTGTTTACAATGCTTGCTTTTTTGTTTTTATTTCTTGTTAATTTAAAACTGCCCTGTTTGTTAATTTATAATTGTTAGTTTAACAATAATATGCCCAGATATGACTTTTTGCTGAATTGTGAAAAGGACAAAAAAGAGAGAAATATTTTTTAAATATTAAACATTTGAAAAATATAAATTAAGTGTACAAAAATGAGTGATACAAATATTTCCCAACAGACTGGGCCGTCGGAGAAAAACCATGAAGCTGTGTCGTGCTCTGTCTGATTTAGTGGTGTATACAAACTCTGTGGCAGCTCAAGACATAATAGATGATGGTAAGATGGGGTGGGGGAGATAATGTATTTATATCAGCATTCCTTTTCCAGTTGATTATGTATTCTGATGAGAAAAATGCCTGAAATCTAATGTTTCTGCCTTTCAGAGAAGTTTTAAAAGTTGACCAGCTATCTTACTAGTGCTTCTCACTTTTATTACAGGGGAGATTATGCTTAGGGGCAACCAACATGGGTTCATTAGAGGCAGGTCCTGTCAGACCAACCTGGTGGCCTTCTATGACCAGGTCACAAAATCCTTGGACGCAAGTGTTGTGGTGGCCATAGTTTTTCTGGACTTTAGGAAGGCCTTTGACACTGTCTTTCACCCCATTCTCATCCAAAAATTAGTTGACTGTGGCATTGATATCTACACAGTCAGATGGGTCACAAATTGGCTGGAGGGCCACACCCAGAAAGTGGTGGTGGCCGGGTTGTTTTTGACTTGGAGGGATGTGGGCAGTGGGGTCCCCCAGGGCTTGGTCCTTGGGTGCACTGTTCAACATCTTCATCAGAGATGGTCCAAAGGAGGGCCACTCACATGATCAGGGGGCAGCAGGGCAGACCCTACGAGGAGGGGCAATGGCACTTGAAACTTTCCAGCCTTCATAAGAGAAGGCTGAGAGGGGATCTGGTGGCCTTCTATAAACTTACCAAGGGGGACCAGTGGGGAATGGGAAAGACCCTGTTTCCCCAAGCACTACCAGGAGTAACTAGGAATAATGGCCATAAATTGACTGAGAGTAGATTCAGGCTGGACATCAGGAGGCGCTACTTCACTGTCAGGGTGGCTAGGATCTGGAACCAACTTCCAAGGGAAGTGGTGCTCGCTTTTACCCTGGGGTCTTCAAAAGGAGTTTAGACAGCCACCTAGCTGGGGTTGTTTGATCCTAGCATCCTTTCCTGCCCATGGCAGGGGGTCGGACTTGATGATCTGCTCAGGTCCGTTCCAACCCTACCAACTATGAAACTAAGAAACTATATATCAACAGTGAAAGAGGGTTAAACAGCTTCCTTTTGTGCCCCTGAAAAAGGTCATCTTTCTGTTTCTCCAGTTTGCTTGTGACTTTCATGATTTATTAAAGTTCCCATGGAATTCTGAAAATAAAGACCTTTCAGGATTTTGCCATGTTAGGAGATTGAGCTGATGTTTTGTCATAATATTAAACTATTTAATATTTATAGTGCAATAGTACTATGAAGTACTGCAAGGTCCAGACTAGCATTAGACTATTCAGTGAGAAGATGAATAAGTGAGAATGTGTATGATACAGAAAAGGTAGTTTGGGTTCTGATTTACTCCTTAACGTAATCAAAGGACAAAATGCAATTAGTGAGGTTTAAGGAAATATAAGGATACAAGAAAAACCTTTAGAAACTGCCTAATAAATCAGTAGGATCATTGCCACAAGATGTCATTACAAACAAGATGTTAGCAGCATTTTTAGAAGGATTAGACATTCATGTGGCTAATGAGAAGATCCATAATGTCACAGGGAATAGATGTATTTTCTATAAGGGAACCATACCTCTGGGCTGTAGGGCACAAGTTAACAACTAACTAACTAATGGGATCTGAAAGAAACCTTCCCTACAAACTGATTGTCTGAATTTGATATCTTCTTCTGAAGCACCTGGTTTTGGCTAGTGTCAGAGGTAGGAGTCTGGTGTTCCTAAATACTGTGAAGTGAATACTTGTTCCTTTAAACAAATATTCATATTTTGTATTATTGGATTTTGTCTATTTTTCTCCCTGAGTAGCAGTAAGACCAAATGCAAATGGTACCATTAAGCAGCTTTTAAATATTTGAGAATGACAGTTATTGCTTAGGGGCACTGTTTAATTAGATTATCTATCTCTTTATATGAAAGATTAAAAAAAAAAAAGTGTGAGGGCTGTTTTTTCTTTAAAAAGTGCTTTGTAGGGAGTTACCAATCTGAATTCAAAAACACGTCAGCCACAAGAAGTGAGTATCAATAAAGAATGTTGCAGAATCCCTACTGATGCAGGGAAAGGTAAGGCTCATTGGCCTGAATACCGTAGGCCTGAATGTCTATTCACAGAAAAGCTCAAGCCTTCAGGGAATTTGTTCTGTTCATGAAATGAATTTAGGAGTCCTGGGTTGGGTAGGAGACTGTATAGCTGAAAGATCCATAGGAAAGGGCATCCCCTGCTCTACTGGGGCAGAGGCTGTCTTCTGTATGGGTTTGTGCTAGGCAAGAATCTTTTCATGATTACAGGAAGCTGAACAGGGGGCAGTCCTGAAAAGGGAAGTTGGTGCTCCAGTATCATCCCCTCCTATTTTCAGTCTTCCCACAGATCTTCATAGAGGAAACACCTAGCATTGCACACTTCAAAGCAAAGTAGGGCAAAGCTGCAGGAGCAACATAACAACAAGGCACTGTTAATCCTAGGTCTGTGGAGCCCATTTGGTCCTGTGGTTTCCATTCTTCCAAAAGCCCTGCAGACTCCCTCATAAATTCCACCTGCCAGCCAGAGCTCTATACCCAATGCCAAATCCATGCTCCAAGTTCCGTACCAGCAAGACATGACAGGAAGGTGGGCTTTCCTGCTTTGAAAAATTAGGCTCCATTCATTTTGCTGTTCCAGCTAGAATAGGGAGTTCTGTAAGAGATGGAACGAGGAGGTATGAGGTAGGGCTCTATGAAATTTCGATGGGTGTATCGTTTCAAAGCTGTTTCAATGCATTTTGAGCTTGAAACATTTCAAAATGTTTTGAGTTTTGAAGTCAGGCTTGCTTGCAGCTAAGCAGAAACTAAGGAGAGGGAGGGAGAAGAGGGGGAGTAAGATCTGGGGGCCTGCACCCCACAGGAAGACCTGGGAGAAATCAAACTGCAGGCTGGGGAATCAAGCCAGGGCCTGGGGGAATGTTCAGGTCCCTGAACGAAATTCCGTCAGTTCCCAGTTTGATTCTCCAGCTCCCTGATCCTTCTCTGATCACTCTCCCCAGCTCTTCCACGGGCCCCTGGATGATGCGGGATGAGAGCAGGCTGCTGCTACCAGGTGGGGATGGCAGCAGCTCTGGGCTATTTCCCCAGCCGGGAGCATCAGCCTGCTGAAATCCTGCATGCAGATCAGGGGCCATGCCTCCTGGGAAGAGCTGGTGGAATGATCACAGAGCTGGGGATCAAACCAGGAGCTCCAGCTGACAGGTGGTACTGCCCCAGCTCCCAGACAGTGCATGGTGCCCTGCCGATCCACACTGCACCTGTGCCATGGAGCAGTTGCTGTGCAGGTCCCAGGTGGGAGGGCGATCCCTGCTGCCCCATGCTGTGTGGGCATACTTTGCCATGAGCCCCTGGAGGCCCCAGTCACCACTGCCAGAGCTGGTGAACACAGGGCTTTTTTTTTTTTTGAGTTCTGCACTCACTGACTGCAGAGCATGCAGATGACAGCAAGTGGCTGGGCCCAGCACCTGAGTCTGCCAGGCGCAGCCCGCACTGAGCACCCAGAAGAACCCAGCTGGCAGTGGCAGCTTGCTGTCATCCCACACACAGATCTGGGGGCTGTGCCCCCCAGGAGGGCTGCAGAACTGTGCCAGACTCCTCCCGGAGGGAGCGGGCCCCCAGATCTGCATGTTGGATGACAGCACGCTGCCACTGCTGGCAAGTGATACTACTTTTGCTTTACACAGTTTGAGGTGCAGTTTCACAAAACACCCTACACCTATCTCCTTGAAACTTGGCAGACATAATGCCCTCAGAAGGGGGTACCATCCCTGCAATTTTTATTTGAATCAGACATGAAATGACAAAGTTATAGGCATTTTTGTGATTTCCCCATTATAGCTTGCGGGTGAAATGTTGAAACGTGTTGAAACAGCATCAAAACAGCGACGCAGTTTTGATTAAATGAAACGGAACAGTGCTTTGAAACAGCAAAATGAAACACTGTCCCTTTGAAATGGAAGTTGAAATGAAATGGTGCTGTTTTGCACAGGCCTAGTATGAGGAAGAGGATTCCTGGAAGTTTGCAGGCTGTCAGGAGGTAGCTGAAAGACATTACCAGTATAAAGATGGAGAAAGTTGGATGAGATCTGCCACTTGATATTTGGTTGTGTTCAACAAACCCCCAGGACAGATCTGCCATAATGGCAGTTTGGTTAAAAATAAATTGAAACTGGATGCAAAGGCTTGCTTGGTGTGAGTCAGAAATGTGAAATAGAGTATTTGTTGTATAAAATTCAACCTTAGTGCAAGCCAGCACTACTACCATTATGGTCAGTGGGAAATATACTTGTTTATGTCAGGGGTGTTCTTTGAGTTTTCAGTGGTTTAGGTTTGAGGCAGAAGCATTCATACTGAATGAGGCAGAAGCATTTATAGAGATATTTATACATTCCCTGCTACCCAAGCCCAGCACTAGCACGGTTCATTAGCTGTGTCCCTGAGCAAGCTGACTGACTTTTCTCTTCTTTATATGGTCTTTAGATGATTCATGCAACTGAGTGACCCTACCGTCTAAAACGTCTTAGGGCACCTATAATTTGGTTTCAGAATGTATTTTTTTCATATAGCCTATCAAATAGAAGTTGTATAACACTGAAGTACATACAATGAATACTTATTTTAAATTCTTTCTAACCTCCCCGAACAAAGAATGGAAGGTAGTTTAGTGCATAATGGTAGACTGTTGATGCCTAATAAATGAGCTGCAAAAGTCCCACTGGATATATCTAAATCAATTCACAAAAGTGAGTTTTTAATCCAAGGAATATATCACCTGTAAACTGGTGAATTTACAAGACTTGGGTGTAAAAATTCCTTTGGTAGTGTTGGAAGTTACCGTAGAGCTCTACAGACATGTCAATTTTCACAAATATTGACATTAAGCTACCAGGCAAGGAATAAAATGTGTTCAAAGAGAGATGCAGTGAATGTTCTTGGGTGTACAGGGTAACAAGCTCAGATCTTCACCAGAATTGAACGGACTATGGCAGAGGTACCAAGTATGTGGGGACCCAAAGGACCTTGTCTCCCTTGCGAAGAGGACTGTAGCCTGAAATGCATAAAACTTTCCACATGTCCATCATCTTAGGCCCCCATGGCAAAAATAAAAAGTTGGTGCCTATGGCTATGAGCAGATTTATGAAGGAAGGGCAGACTAGAGATGCATCTTATAGACTGACTGAATCAGAAACACCAGCAGATTTACAAATTTATGGTCTGTTCCCACTGAAGTCAATGGGAATTTTGGTATTGATTTTAACAGAATCAGGATAGAACCCAGGAGCACATAAGTGAAATCTTTACAAACCGAGTGGGTAGTTACCAACAGAGCTTAAAGGTTTCATGTGAGGAGGATTATTGTTGTTCTTATTATTACAGCTAAGGACAAGGTGAGTAGGCTACTCATATACTTTCAGGACACAGAAAGTTCCTGTTCTATGGTGCATAGAACTTGTGAGAAAATAAATGGAGGAAAAGATCGTTATGAACCTGTGAGGTACTGAGGACCTTCTCAGCAGCTTCAGTGCCCATTGAAGAGTTAACGTTACTGAGTATTGTTCAGAAGTTGCTTAACATTTTATAGTATTAAATCCCCAAACAACTAAAAACACTATACATGTATGTGATCTATACTTCATTGCCAATTGCAATTATATTCATTATACAAGTCTTATTGTATAAGTTTATATAAGCTTCGGTTTAGGAATATTACCTAATGGCAGCTAGACAAAATAAAACTTGTGTGACCTGTATTTAATGTGATAATATTGCATGATAATATTGCATTTAATGTGATCCAAATCTAGAATAACTTTACTGAAGTCTATCTAAATTACTCTAGGTTTATACCAGTGTGACTGAGACCTAAATTCAGCCCTTTGTTTTACAGCATAATTTTGTATTTGTTTGTTTGTTGTTTTAACTGTCTACACATAGGGACTACAGGCAATGTTTTATCATTCAGTGAAACAAGAGCCCATCAGGTAGTACAGCAGAAGGCTGAACAGTTTATGCTTTACAACCAAAAACAACTCACCAGAATCTATCCATCGGCATACCGGATTGACTCCAGCAATTTCAATCCTTTGCCCTACTGGACTACTGGTTGCCAATTGGGTACGTGTTTCATGAATAGTATATTTTCCCACGTGTTTTGTTCCATAGTGATCAATGATTTCTTAATCTTCTCATTTGACAGTGGCATTAAATTACCAGTCTGATGGACGTATGATGCAGTTAAATCAAGCAAAATTCAGGATGAATGGCAACTGTGGGTATGTCCTAAAACCTCAGCAGATATGCAAAGGTAATGTCCCATTATATGGTGGTGGTTATATATGTTTCTTCTTTCAAAATTTTTTTCTGGTAAAACTGTTAATATCATATATCTAGAAGCAAGTAACTGGACTAAGAGACAAAGAAGAACACCAACTTGTGTAGGATTTTTCTTTGATATCTCATAGAAGCCAGTGAGATTCTTTCCATACCCTTTATGGGAAACTGAATTACATCCTTAAGAAGATTCTTTTAGAAAGGCGTCTGTGACCCTTCCATCATACAGTGAAGGCATTTTGTACTTGTTTGAGGATTTTGGTTTTGATTTTGCCACTGTTGTTTTAAAATGGCTTTGTCTGCATTTCTTTGGGCCATAGTAGACAATATTTGAGAAGTGATGCAGGGTTATGTAGTTTAAATGACTTTTTTCCAGGTCCATGTATCCAGGATACTTTGTTCTTAGAAATATATATTTTTGATGGGAAGCCCAGTTTGACAAACCCTTGCCTCCTGGTTTCCTCACTCTCTTGAAATCATTGGGACTTCTCTTATAAATAAGGACTGCTCTGCTGAGAAAGGGTTGTAGAAAATGGAACAAAAACTTGCATGTCAGCCTTGCATGTCAGCCTATTTCACTGCTTACTTTACTGAGTTCTATGTTGTGCCTATATAAAATTATTATTCTGTGTTGTATAGAGGGTAGAATATCTGTTTTTTGCTCTGTATTAGAGTATAATATATTAAAGGATTTAACTTATTCTCACTTTCTGCAAACTTTTAGGTACATTCAACCCCTTTTCTGCTGACCCACTTCCTGCCAACCCTAAAAAGCAACTTATTCTCAAAATCATCAGTGGTCAGCAGCTGCCTAAGCCTCCAGATTCAATGTTAGGAGACAGAGGAGAGGTACAGTAGTTTGAGTGTTACCAATTTTTTTCTTCATGATGAATATTATAGAAATGACTGGGAGTGACATGATAGTATTTGGACAAAAGAGAGTTTATTTTCTAAATCTGAATATACCAGTAATTTTCAGATGTTTTCTTGCACTGCCTCATATATGTTGAATTTTGTCCATGAAACCTGTACTTTAAAAATTCTGGGCACATATAAGCCCTGGGGCTGGTAGGGGGTTAGTTCTTTGTCAGCAGCCAGGGAGAAGGAGCTCTTGCAGAAACACTACTCAGAAATGCTTGGTTGCCTATTCTGCTGCTGGTAAGACTAATGGGTGCTAGGAGCTCCTAAAGTATCTGGGGCTAGGCCTCTGGCCCCAGTAGCGATGCACACATTGTTGAGGTAGAAGCTTGCCTCCTTAAAGGGCAGAGTGTGAGCTCTACTGTTATTGTTGTTGTTATGTTATAGCCCAGGGGCTTGTATTTATGCTGTTATTTGAATCTGGTGGACCGGGATTAGGCTATTTGGGGAGGAGGAGGCCTCAATAGGACTGAAACAAGCCCGGTGCCAGTGAGGGCACAATGACAAGGCTGCAGCGAGCCCAGTGCCAGTGAGGGTGCAGCATTAGGGTTGAAGTGAGCCCAGT